AACTGCAAGCTGAAGCTTTCTAAGCCGGCCAGCGCTGGGAACAAAACGCTCGACGGCAAACGGGGGGGAGTTTACAGCGTGACAAAGGAGCGCGCAGCATTTCCACGTGCATGAAATTGGGCGTCTGCCAAAAGCGCCCTAATCTGAAGTGCGCGTTCTTTGCAGCCTGCATCCGCGTGCCACGTTCTATCTGGAACGATTGGGTTGGGGTCAGTCTAGGTCCAGGGCGTCGAGCCGAAGCCCCGCGCCCGCGAGCCTGGCCGCGCAACAGGGCAACGCCCCCCCTCGGAGCCGACGGGGGGGCGGGAAAAATTGCCTCTTGCTTCTGGGATTACGCTTGAGACCCCTCTTCGCCAGTTCAGCGCCCAGCCAGGCGTCGTTGCGGGTTAAGCGCGGGCCCTACAGGAGCTTCTTGAAAAAGGTCGCCCGCGAATGTTGCCAGCCCCGGGTAAACGCGAGGGGGGGGGGGGGGGGGGCTTCGCGGCTGGCGAAAAGCCCTCTTCGCAGAATTGGCGACCCAACGATCGACCGTCGGGCGAAAGACATGGGCGAACGACGCGACGGCCAAGGGGCCTCCATGGAGCATGCCGCATCCCGCGCGCAGGTGGAGGCCCCCTTCCTCCACGGGCATGGCCGCGAACGCGAGCTTCTATCGTTGTTGGCATAGACGAACCCCAGTGCCCCATCGCCATGCCCGCGGCCGCCTCGTCCACAGCTGGCCAGGGCGGAGAAGCAGAAGCACTGCTCAAATCTTTGAGCAAGTCTATCCAATGCAACCCCGCCCTGTCAAGGCGCCGCGAGGTGCAAATATTAGTGGCAATGGCGCCTCCCCTGCGGCGACGCCGCGAGAATCTGCGATCCACCTCGGGGTGGGTGCATGGAGGCCCTCTGCGCATACTTCGTTTTTAAATGGCCTTGCCTGGGGGGTCGGGGCCGCGCGCGGCGCTCTGGTCTGCCGGGGGGCCCAGGGGGGGCGCTTTCTGCAAGGCAAAGCCTTGGCTGCAAGACCAGTCTCGGGAGAAGACCAGTTTACCCGATCAGAAAACAAAGCGCTCGAAGAAGCCAGCTTCTGACATGCTCGCCCGCGATATAGGGCAATTTCGACCCGAGTCCAGCACGGCCGCGAGGGCCCCCCCCGGGAGGCGCACCGACTCCATCGCTCCACAGCTCGACAGGGGGAGGCCACCGTGGAACGCCTTTTCTCTTAAAGGCTGATTGCACATAGGCCAGAAAAAAAACAAATCTCCTAGGGCATCCTCGCGTGATTGCGCGGCCCTGTCGGCATTGAAACTCGGCGGGGGAAAGGGGGGCGTTTAAACTCGTTCCGTTCCCGACTCAACCTCCCCCGGTCCAACCTCGACGCCGTCGCCCCTCCCTCTCCGCCATGCTTGGGCCATGTCTCAGGCCACTCAGCTTGCGTTGGGAGCGCGCCTTACAGCCCAGAAGAATTACGTTTCCCACTCCCGAACCTCCCACCCGCCGGCCTCAAACTTAATCTTTGAACAGCCGCAGGGTCGCGCCTGCGCAGGGCTTCATAGATTTCCCCCCCCAGCGTGTCTTTCTTCAGTTCAACTAGTCGGCGACGCTGGCGAGCGCAAATCTTCGTGACCTCATTCAGTCGGAGAAGGCGGGTCTGGAGCTCAGTGTGGTCACGCGAGTGGAGCTTTTCGCGCAACTCCCGCCTTTGCGCAAGCAAGGGGAGACGCTCGGCAGTGTCCTGTTCATGCGGTGGGGCGGCAGCCTTCGCGAATCGGGTCTTGCCCTCCTCTCGCGTCGCACCGTCTAGCAACTTAAAAAGCTCCTGGGCGGATTCGGTGCGAGCGGTCAAGCTCAAGTCCTGCAGCCTTCGCTTCGCTGCCACGAGAAACGTATGCCTATCCTGGTTACATTTAAGAGCCCGTATCAGTCTATATGTGTCCCACTTCACCTCGTCAAATGAATCCCCACTCGGAGCAGCCCAACTCGCTGAATCCACTTGTTGGCAATCCATAAGTATAACGATTCGAGCGTGTACAGGAAGGTGGTCACGTGGTGTCGCAGCTGGAATATACTGGGGGCGCTGCCCGAAACGTCGAAGTGGTCCCGCTGATGTACCTTCGCAGCAAGTGGAAAAAGGGGAATAGTCACGTGGTCATTCATGCTGCTGTTGCCACGCGCATCGAAGAAGGTGGGCGCCACGCCTGTCTGGGATGTCGTCGAATAGAGCTTGTGTTCGTCCATGAGGTCGCGAACTTTATGTCCTGCTCCCCAGCGGTGATTTTCATGTGTGACGCCCAACACAATATAATATATCCCCACGTATTGCTTTTGTTCCGCCTCTTTCGATCGTCCCATGCCTCGTTCGCATCAGTCATGATACAAACAATTGCAGGATGCGGTGCGTTCCGAATCATCTGAGAAGCCCATCGACTCAACTTCTCACAACAGGATATATATATATATATATATATATATATATATATATATATATATATATATATATCGGAACCGTTTTTCGATCGGCAGGTTTCGGAGGGAAACAAAGCGTGAGCGCGTAAAACGACGTGCTTCGAAATCTGACATAAACGCCCAGACCGCGCCCTTGCAGCAGGGCAGGTGGTGTACCAACCAATTCGACGAAAACGCTTCTGGGGCCAACGCGGCGGCAACATAAACGTACATCTTGCGCTATTGTTACTAATCTTCGTGGGTTTCCATCCCGCAATCACAGCAGCGCGATCCAGAACAGGCAGTTGAACGAGATAATCGCTAACATGTAAATCCTCATTCGCTGCTAGCCAACAGCCGCATGTAGGATAGCGAATGTCGGACAAGTGATTTCGTGGCCTCAAGGCAAGCACATGGCCTTGGACCAGAATGGCGGCGCTAGGAGGAGGAGGAGGAGGAGGAGGAGGAGGAGGAGGAGGAGGAGGAGGAGGAGGAGGAGGAGGAGGAGGAAGAGGAGGAGGAGGAGAAGGAGGAGGAGGAGGAAGAGGAGACGGATGAGGCAAACCCACGGCAAGACTGCGTCCCGAGCCCCAGGCAGACGAAGCTTAGCACCGCGGCAGCCCCCGACGGCAAACGCCCCACGGCAAGCCCAACGCGTCCGAGAGGCCGCGCGGCGGCACAAGTGGCGTGGCGACGTGTCAATTACGAGTTCCGAGGTCGCTCGAATCGTCGTCGTCGCCTTCGCCGCTGCCGTCGTCGTCGTCGCCGCCGCCGCCGCCGCTGCCGCCGTCGTCGTCGTCGTCGTCGTCGTCGTCGTCGTCGTCGTCGTCGTCGTCATTGTCGTCTTTCTCGTCGTCCTTCAGGGTGGGCGGCATCGGCCGTAATGCCTTCGCCAGATCAACTGCGAGCGCCAATATCGCTCTAACTTCAATTCCCACGCTAGAATTTCTTCGATCGAAACTCTGCGCCGCGGTGCATCCTCCTGAAACTGGAGACTGCATCGCGCGCTATCGAAACGAGCGGGCTGTCGAGTACGATCCAAACGTACAATCGTGATTCATATTTCTTACACCGTTCGGCATCTGGGGGGTCACCACCAAGAGGGGTCGTCATGTCCTCGAAGATGCGCCACTTGCTTGAGGAAGTAGAAAGGGGGCCCAGATGATGATGACTATGATGATGATGATGATGATGATGATGATGATGATGATGATGATGATGATGATGCTGATGATGGGAGGAGGATGAGGAGGAGGAAAAGGAGGAGGAGGAGGAGGAGGCGGAGGAGGAGGGAGGAGGGGGAGGAGGAGGAGCGAGTGAGTGAGGCGCGGGGCGCTGTCTCCTCAAGACGAGGACCCAAACCACCACAGGATGGCCGGGACACGTCTCCTCGAGCTTCCATCATGGAGCCTCGATCTCCAGGACTTTTTTTGGGGGGGGGGGTCGGCGGGTCGAGAGCGGGCCTCTTCCGGTTAAGAGCTGGGCGGGGCGCGCAAAACACTCATTGGGGAGACAGAGCGCGGACGGGGACTCGATTTCCAGGACAAGCCGCTGCCCCTCTGGGGCTTCCGAGCCGTGGCTCGGCTCTCCTCCGGCGGCCGTCCGGGCCCACGGGGGCCCGCTGCTGGAGATCCGCTCCTTCGGCGGGGCCGCCGCTGCTGGAGAGCACCCCGAGGGCTCGGAGGACCGACGAGATTTTTTGTCGGCGGGTCGAGAGCGAGCCTCTTCGGGTCAAGAGCCAGGCGGGGCGCGCGAAACACTAATTGGGGAGACAGGGCGCGGGCGGGAGGGGCCTCAGGCGGTCGGAGGGTGCGGAGTACAGGCGGTGCCGAAGAGCTTGCACAGGAAAAGGTGCACCTTGGACAGGAGCCGGGGGTTCGGAGGACCGACGAGAGCCCACGAGAAGCCCGAGAGCCTCAAAACTCGATCTCGCAGGATGAGAGAGAGCGTGATCCACCGCCGCTTCACTGTGGAAATTCCCCCCCCCCCCCCCCCCTCTCTTCCCGCGGAACCCGGGGGTCCCCCCCCCTCCAAAAATACCCCCTCCCCCCCCCCCCCCCTCTGACGACCCCCCTCCCCCTCCCTCCCGGCAAAACCCATCCCTCCCCCTACCCCCCCCTCGTCGTGATGCCCCGTATGAGGGGCAGCGATCGGGGGGGACTGGCATAGGGGGGGACATCAACCTGGAATCGGCGATACATCGCTGACAGATCGGCGATCGGCCAGAGGTAGCGAATCCGCACGTTACTGGGCGGGGTGGGGCTATCATAACCCTATCGGCGATCGATGGGCGATTGGGGCTCGAGACCTCCCCCCTCTGCCTATCCTCTCCCTGTCGTTGCCCCTTGGCTTTCGGGTCATGACTCGGCCCTCCGACGGCCGTTCGGGAGGATCCTGCAAGTCCCAGCGCGCTCTCGGCGAGGTGCAGCTGCTGGAACACATCCCGCAGCAGGAAGACCTTCAAGAACCGATGAAAACGTCCGAAAACCTCGTCCGACGAAAACGTCCGAATGGGCGGCTGGGGGTCGTAGCTTCTGACCGTGGCACTGCCCGAGTGCGCCCCGACCCAGGTCGCCAGACTTGCCGCTGGGGGTGTTCACGCACAGGACGGTGCCCCTCGTCCTCGTGAGGCCCGGCTGCGGCGGCTGAGGCGTCATCGGGAATGCCTTCTCCTGGCAGGGCCGGGGGGGCGAAGTCGGGACGGCGCCCCGGGCCCAGATCTCTTCCGAGCCATGTACAGTCGAAACGCTGTCACAAGGAACCCTAAATGAGGAACGAGGCCTCTTTTTTTCCATAAGTTTGACTTCGATTTCTCATCGGGAACCTAAGGACACCGCAAGACAAACTGTAATACATTAAGGAGCACTGAGCCTCTCCCCAACGAAAAGGGTTCCGTCTGCAGCGGCCCGACTGGAACGTCGTGCTGACAAAGTCGGCCGCTGGGGGCTCTTACCGGGCTATGGGACCGTCCAGCAAAAATGACTGGGGAGGGAGAGCCAGCGCTGGGGAAAAGAGATCAGGATTTCTGGGGACCGCGCGCATGGGAAACACATCAGGACATCACATGTCTGGGATCGCAAACTTCAGAAGATGCTTTGTTGTTGTTGTTGCTGCTGCTGCTGTTGCTGTTGTTACTGTTATTGTTGTTGTTGTTGTTGTTGTTGTTGTTGTTGTTGTTGTTGTTGTTGTGGTGGTTGTTGTTTGATTTCGGCCCTCTGGGGCGCCTCTGGGGCCCCTGGACTTTCAGACATGGATCTGGGTGCATTGGCGAATTGCTGCGCTCGCGCCGCAAAGAGCTCATGACGGAGAGTCGGCCTCCGGGGGGGGTATGGGGGCGGGCGTCGCTGGGCCCAGGGGCAACAGAAACTGGCTCGGGATGGAAAACCGGAACGGGGGAATTGGTCGAGACTCCTGGGGGTCCACGTCGAGAAGAAATCACGAAGCTGGGGGTCTGGGGGGGTTTGCGTTTGTTTTGTTTCCCCACCCTCCTGCGTTGGGTGCTCGTATAGAGCACTGCGCGCGTCTCCTTCTCTTGCTTCCCGCCTCCCTCCTCCATTTTTCCTGCCTGCCTCTTACCTCGCTTCTTCCTGCGTGCCAGCTTGCCTCCTACCTGGTGATTCAGATTCGACCTCGCCATCCCTGGAGGGCTGCGGTTTGCGAAACCGTCGCCGCTTTCGAAGACTGCTGGGGCTGGGAGGTCCAACGGCGTGACGTGCTACGCAAACTTAGATTGGACAGGGCCAGCGATCTGCGAGACTGTAGCCACTTTCGAGAGCTGGGTGACGTGCTGCGCAAACTCAGATTCGACCTCGCCATCCCTGCGGGGCTGCGATCTGCGAAACTGTAACCACTTTCGAGGGCTGCTGGGGGGGTCAGCTGAATCACGTGCTACGCACTTCAGAGTCGACCTTGCCATCCCTGTGGGGCTGCAATCTGCGAAACTGTCGCCCCTTTCGAGGGTTGCTGGGAGTTCCAATGGAATGACGTGATATGCACGTTCATGTTCGACCTCGCCATCCCCGTGGGGCTGCGATCTGCAAAACTGTCAACACTTTCGAAGGCTGTTGGGGGTTCCAGCGAGGTGACGTGCTACGCAGGTGCAGATTCGACCTTGCCATCCCTGTGGGCCTGCGATCTGAACAAAAAAATCGTCACTTTGGAGATTTGCTGGGGGCTCCAACAGAGTGACGTGCTACGCAGATGCAGATTCGACCTCGCCATCCCTGTGGGCCTGCGATATGAAAAAAATCGTCACTTTGGAGATTTGCTGGGGGCTCCAACAGAGTGACGTGCTACGCAGATCCAGACTAGACCTCGCCATCCCTGTGAAAGGCTGCGACTGCGAAACTGTCGCCACTTTCGGAAGCTGCTGGGGGCTCCAGCGGAGTGACGTCACACCTGAGTTCGGATTAGACCTCGCCATCCCCATGAGGTTGCGATCTGCGAAATTGTCGCCACGTTCGAAAGCTGCTGGGGCTTTGTTCTGGGACGCCCAGAACACGATTTCAGCACATGCTTCCATGTATTCCTTGCGATGCGTGCCAACCCTGTGCCCCCAGGTACCATGCGCATTCTTTGACGAAGTTGTCCGTCGGACCTGCGTCAACCTGGGTGAAGCGGGCGGCACGCGGGATGCTACCCCTGCGCGTGGGCATGCGCATCCACCTGCTGCAGCACATGGACCAGACCAAAGGGCTCGTCAAGGATGCCGGGGGCGTGATCGTCCACGTGGCCGTCAACGCGAAAGATGAGGACGAGGTGGAGGCAGCGAAGGCCGAGCGACGTCTGGCGTACCTACGGTGCCTGCCGTACGGCGTGTGGGTGAGCATGTGCAAATACAAGGCTGGCACCTGCGGCGATAAATTCGTGGAGCTCGATAACAGCACCGACGCCGCGGACGCAGCGCGCTTCGTCTTCATCGAGCTGCAGAGTTCGAGCCCGTTTGAGTTCCTGAAGCATGAGGTCACGCGCGCCGGTTTGACCATCTCCCATGCCGAGGTCCTGGCGCCCACGGCCTGCCAGGAGACACCAGGTGCATGGATGAACAGAAAATAGGCGACCTCTGGCTGCATCTCTACGTGATACTGTCGAGGGCGACGACCGCGGACAACCTCCTGCAAATGCGCGGTCCCGGCCTGGACTTCCTGGCCCGCGGGCCGCCCGCAGACCTGGCGGCGCGCCATCGAGCGCTTAGCTCCCGCACTGAAGGGTGCAGGAAAGAGGCAGAGAAGCTGGCGGTCGAGCCAGGCCTCGCTCGCTTCTTGCATAAGGCAGGTTTCATAAATTCGAGCGCCGCGGCGACTTGGCGCAGGCAGCGCTGCATCTTCAGCGTACTACGACGAACACAACACTCTCCTCTCCTCCCGTCGCTTTCGTCGTCGTTCACCTCCCCTTGTCACCTTCTTTCTGATGCTTCCGCGCTGACTGTCCGGCCCCCCTCGCGTCCTTCTCCGGCTCTTCGTTCCCACCCCCATGTCTTCTTCGAACCTGGGCCCTCGCTCCTCGTCCTTGTATCGTTGTCCTGTTAATCATGCCACGTGCGCGAATCCTGCGTAGCTTGCGCAACATACTACAATGGCGCCTGCACTGACATTGTCCTGGCAGGTTTGGGCCAACTCCTCTGGCCACATAATGTAGCTGGGTTGGGTATGTCGCAGGGTAATTTTTCGAGGTGACGTGAAGCGTCTCTCCTCGAATCGCAACACTCACACGTCGCACCCACGCACTGTCACAAGACACGGGCCGAGGACATCCTTCGCCGGCCATCGGTGCCACCAACCCTGAGACCCCAGAGTTGCAATCTGCTCTGCTTTCTCCTGGTTTCGGGCATGGGGCCGTCCCAGACTCGTCTGGCTCGAGAAATTCCACAGATGGTGATGAGGTGCGATGGAGGACAAGGAGACGGAGGAGGAGGAGGAGGAGGAGGAGGAGGAGGAGGAGGAGGAGGAGGAGGTCACGATGTCTGTTTGGGGAGGCATCGTCCGACCTCGAGGGCCATCGGAGCCACCCGTGGCACCTTGTTTGGGGATGCTGCCCCCCCATGGCGTCGGTCGTGGCCACCCGTGGCAACCAGTCGTGGCTCACCCGACACACCGCACCGGTGGCGTCGGCGGCACAGCTTGGGATAACACTGGTGCGCTGATGCAGCCATCGAATGTCCTGGGCAGGGGCGGAGGGGGGACTTGGGGGGAGGATGTGGATGGGGGGTGGGGGAACCAAAGGACAAGAGACGTCAGGAAGAGGATGATGATGCTGCTGATGGTGATGACGATGACGGTGCTGCTGGTGAGGATGAAGTTGAGGCGGATGCTGAAGCTGATGATGATACGCAGGTCGGAGAGGAGAGAGAGAGAGGAGGGGGAGAAGGTTCAGCAGCAGGACAGGGGAAGGATAGTGAGTGGGGGTCATGAGTAGGGTGGGGGGAGAGAGCTGGCCCAGCAGGACACATGTGATGAGTCAGGGGAGGACAATCAAAAAACGAGGGAATGATGACGATGATGATGGCCATGATGAAGGTGAGGAGGAGGCGCCCCACCTGCATACTTTTCCACAGCCCTCCTGTGTTTGGTTCTCGTTTCGATTCGAGCACTGCGGTCGCACACCCCCTTCTCCTTCTCCCCCCTCGTCCAGCCTCCCTGGGAGGCTGCGGACTGCGCAACTGCCGCCATTTTCGTGGGCTCCCGGGAGGCACGGCGGAGTAGGGGAGTAAGCGGACCCAGACTAGACTTCGCAGCTCCCTGGCGGGCTGCGAACTGCGCAACAGTCGCAACTTTCGTGAGCCCCTGTGAGGGACGGCGGAGAAGGGGGGCATGCGGACCCAGCCGATACCTCGCATCTTCCTGGGTGGCTGGGGTCGATGATGATGCTGACGATGATAATGATGACGATGATGATGATGATGATGATGATGATGATGATGATGATGATGATGATGATGCTGCTGACGATGGTGATGCTGCTGATGATGATGGTCATGATGATGCTGCTGCTGCTGAGGCTGTTGATGACGATAGTTCCGATGACGATGACGACGAATATAGGAAGACCATGATGATGATTTCGATGATGACGACGATGACAATGACGATGACGACACTGATGATGATGCTGCTGTTGATGCTGATGATGCTTATGATTTGCAACATGGTAGTATGATTGTGATGATCACGGTACTAATGATTACCATGACGGTCGTTACGATGAATATGACGATGACGATGACACTGATCATGACGATGCTGCTGATGATGAGGGACGATGATGATGCTGCTGATGACAATAATGATGAGGACCATGCTGAGTGTGATGCTGATGATGAAGATTATGCTGATGATGATGATCATGCTGATGATGATGATGCTGGTGATGATGATGATGATGATGATGATGATGAAGAAGATGGTGACGATGCTGGTGGTGATGACGACGATGTCAATGACGATGACGATTATGATGATGTTGTTGTTGCTGCTGATGATGACGATGACGACGATGGTGGTGCTGCTGATGATGCTGGTGAGGATGATGCTGATGACGTTGAAGATGATGATGACGATGACGATGATGGCGAGGATGATTATGATGATGATGATGATGATGATGATGATGATGGTGGTGGTGATGATGATGATGATGTCGATGTTGATCATGATTATGGTGATGATGCTGCTGATGATGATGATGATGATGATGATGATGATGATGATGATACTGATGCCAATGACGATTTTTTGGTGATGATGAGGAGGAGGGGGATGAGGGAACGGATGAGGAGGAGTAGTAGCGGTGCACGCGCATCCACACGGGACCTCTCAGCTCCTTGGGTGGCTGCGGTAGAATTGCGCCACTTGCGTGGGCTCTTGGGAGGCACGGCGGAGTAGGAGAGTACGCGGACTCAGATGGGTTCTCTCAGCTCTCTGGAGGACTGCGAACTGCGCAGCTGTCGCCACTTTCTTCTCTCTCCTCTTGCGTTCATCCCTGAGAGGCCGCGAACTGCGCAACTGTCATCACTTTCGTGGGCTCCTGGGACGCACGGCGGAGGGGAGGAAACGTACTCAGACTAGACCTCGCTGCTCCCTGGGTCGCTGCGAAATCCGCAACTGTCGCCACTTTCGTGGGCTCCTGGGAGGTCCAGCGGAGTCGGGGGCCACGCGGATCCAGCCGAGTCCTCGCAGCTCCCTGGGAGGCTACGAACCGCGCAAATGTCGCCACTTTGTGGGCTCATTGGGGGCACGGCGGAGAGGAGGGCAGCCCTGATCGTGCATATCTGGCGATGTGTTCTTCTGTATGGAGCGTTCATGCAAATATTCGCCTCGCGGGCAGAAGGAGTTGGGTACGCCTCGGGTAATGAAACAAGAAAAAGTTGTACAAAGAGGGCGATGATGAACGAGCGAAATATACACTCATCCCATGCACACATGACACCCTGGCAACCACTCACATGGCGCCAACCAATGGGAGGCGGAAGCAGACGGCATCACAGGATGGCGCTCCACGCCTTGACCTCGATGTTCTTCGGCCTCCCCCTTTCCTGCTTCTGCCCATGGCTGACCAGCCCGCTTCCCATCATCGCAGGTCGATTGGATCTTGGAGGCGGCCAAGGAGGGTCTGAGCTGGATAAGCCCAGAGGACATCAGTCAAGAGGGGGGGGATGAGGGCAACTTCGCTCGACATTGGTCCCCGGACCCCTCCCTAAGTCGAGAGTGACCAGATCTTCGAGCCGCGTCCAGCCGTATAGCGACGAGGTAGCTCCCGTCTCCCTCCCCCTGCTGCAGGGCACCAGTGCTGGGCCACCTTGACAGCCCTCCCCAGCTGGCTCCAAGCCCACACGCTTTCCATCATCGCAGGTCCTTTGGATCGCTTGCGCGGTTACAGGAACAGGAACAGGCATACAGTAGGGGCCCGACCACAAGAAACCTTCCACCTGACACTCCAGGACGTCCTTGGATTTTTGGTGTGGGCACGTCACGCTTTCCATCGCAAAATCATCGAGACCCAAGAAACCCAGGGCACACTGGAGGCAAGCAGGGTGTTTCTTGGCATGGGCCTCCACTGTAATCATACTTCCTCGGAGGTCCGCGTGGATTTTTTGGAGCGGCGCTGGACCCCCACTTCACCCGTCGCGCGGAGCGAACCCGAGGCGACACCGGAGGCGCCGCCAGGGGGGCCCAACGCAAGTCCAAGAAGTCCGCTTCTTCGGAGCTCTCAGAATTTGGAATTGCGTGTATGCAATTTAGAGTTCTCTGGAAGATCGAATCGATCGAATCGCCCCCCCTGGGCAGCTGAACTCGGGCGCGCGCTGTCGAATCGATCGATACGCCTCGCACTGGCGTCGGTCGGGCCGATGCGGCGAGTCGACCGGATCGACCAGATCGTGGACAGCCCCGCCGCCTCATACTGCTCGGACAGGGGCCACTTGATACCGTTGTTTTAAGGGGATAGTAGCGCCGCCTGTCATGGCAGCAGGATGATCCTTAAGGGTTATGCGGTCTCCATTCTCGGTTTCTGGCGACCGGTCGCACCGCCGTTTTCGAGAGAAGTTCGCTACCTTGCTCCCTGGAATCGCGAATCAGCCCGCATGCAAGAATGGGGGAGGAAGGAAGGCGGCCGCAGAGAGGGGAGCATGGCGCGGGGGCACACTCACGCAGCGAGGCTGCGGAGGGTGCGCGGGCGCGGCTGGGCTGAAGGGTGGCCCCTGGCAGCAGCTGCGGGTCGGCGTCGCAGTACATCCAAAGGGGGGGCCAGCAACCACAGTGCGGGCAAGGCGCCCCCGTCAGACATGCGATGTCCTGATTTTTCAACACGCGGTGTTCGAGGAACAACAAACGGCATAACCATTATTTCTCTGAGGTCCGCGCGGATTTCTTGGATCGGCGATGGACCCCCCTCCCTGGCGCGTGGAGCGCGCCAGGGGCGGCGCCAGAGTCGCCGCCGAGGGGGCCCAGCGCCAATTCAAGAAATCCGCCCGGAAGTCCCAGGCCTTCCCCCAAGGCTGTTTTTTCGTCCCAGGCCGCTTTTTTGAGGGTCCCGGCGCCTGGTGAGGGCCCCCAAGGGCCGAGAACTGAGAACCTGAGATTGCCACGAACCAGGAGAAGTGGGCGTGATTTGCGAGGAAGATGAAAAAAATAAGAGGATGCCTGTAGGGCGCACAGTGCTGAGATTCCCGGGTTGTCCGTTTGACGCTGTGCCGCTTCAAGGCGCACCATGCTGTTTCCCGTGTTGTCGAGAACTGCGAACCACCTCTGTCCCGATTTTTGTCAGGACGCTGCACGCCTGGGCCGGAGGATCTTCGTGCACGCATGGCCCCTGACCCCCCCCCCTTGGCGGCCTCCCAGGTGGGGCCCGAATGCACGGGGTCGGAGGATCGCGCCGCACCGCCGATGCATCGCCGATGAATCGGCGAAGCGGCGCGATCCTCCGACCCCATCTGCTCCGACCCCCATCTGGGAAGCCCAGACCCCCCGCCCCCCCAGGGGCCCAGTCTCGCGGGTGGACGGGAAGATCTGCCTCGCGGCGGCATCGTCGATGAATCGGCGAAGCGGCGCGATCCTCCGACCCCATCTGCTCCGACCCCCACCTGGGAAGCCCAGACCCCCCGCCCCCCCCGGGGGCCCAGTCTCGCGGGTGGACGGGAAGATCTGCCTCGCGGCGCCGGCGGCGCGCGCTCCCTCCGCCCGCCATCCCTCCCCAGAGGGGGCGGGGGAAGGGCGAGGGGGCGACGCAGCGAGTGGCGTGGACCCGGCTGCGCCGAGCAGCGCCCGCTGGCCCGCAGGCAACCACGTGCGAGCCCTGCCCTCGGGGGCGGCCAAGACGGGTGTGTGCACATCATGGCCCGAGGCACGTGCGCGGACCAGCGGGGGGTGGCCAGGGAGCGTTTCGAGACAATACGAGCGGCCATGACATCTGGGGAGATGTCGTGGCCCCGGCCAGGAGACCCACCCGCCCTGGTCCTCCTCCCCCTCTTGGCCGTCCCCGAGACCCCTGCGAGTCAACCTTCGGAAGCCACGGGCCGGGGTGCAGAATCCGAAGGATGTCTGCCCGTCCGCACCGACCGATTCGGGGCCACCGGCCGCGGTTTTGGCCTTGAACGCCCGCGCTGAAGCCGCCGCCGCCGCGTAGGCACGACGCGAACCTGCCGCACAGTCGTCGTGCTGCCATACGTGGCGCTGAACATGGAACGGAGGGGCTTTCTGGACACTGCAAGCCGCAAGCCTCGGCCACGATCGGGTTCCCCGTCCCAGACCCAGGAAGCGGCTCCAGAGCCAGGGCCCCTTCTGGAGCCCAAGGCGGTCCTTACTTCAACGTCTCGGCTGCAACCGCCGTGCACGCGCGGGAGATGCAGACCTCCCACCGTGGCAAGAGCACGTGAGCGCGGGAACGACCCTTTCGATGTCGCTTGCGCTCGAACAGCCTTTCAATTGCCAGATCGTCCCATTTATTTGTTTTGTTTTTTGTTTTTCAGTCGGGTGCTGACAAGGTCCACGGAGCCAGCTTATGCTGCTCACAGCAAAATGCCAGCAGAACGAACAAGACAACTCGCCATTCAGATTTCGGGTCGGGTGCTGACAACATTCACGGGGCCGTCTTGTGCTTCTCAAAGCAAAACACCAACATAAAGAACAGGGCATCACGCCACTCATAATCCACCTCAGCATGACCGTGAGCGGCTAGGAGGAGGAAGAACATGCGGAGGCGGAGGAGAAGGCACCCATGTAACACCTGGGCGCATCGACGATGTTGCATCAACCATGTTGGCCAACTCCAGGCCACTGTCGGCGTTCAGCCGTGAACGCCGCGCTGAGGTCGCCGCCGCGCCGACACGGCACGGACTTACCCCTTCCCCGGATCCGTCTCTGGTGGCCCCGAGAACCGCCTTGGAGGCCGACATCGAGGAAAGAACGCAAGGACTGAACAAAAAGCATGTGTCAAGAATCTGGGCACAGTCGACTCATAGCATGCGGATGCGCGATAAGGATGCAAGGGCCTTGGACGCCCATGGCGAAACTTTTCGAGCGGGGCGCGGCCAACGCAAGTGGCGAAGGATGGACCGAGGAGGCAAGGATGGAAGGGTACACTTGGAAAGGCTACCCATCCTTGCTATGCTGGTCGACGGTACCGTGCACGCTGAGGAAATGCAGACCACCCCCCCGTGGCAAGAACGCGTGCGCGCTGGAGAGAGAACTCGACGCCAGCAGCGTCCAGGCACCCAGGGCGCAGCGAACAGTGGGGGCTTCGGCCCCTCCGGGCCCCTCCGGGCCCCCTACACCAGGACGTTGCAAACCAGGACTCTGACAATCCCGCCTGGAGGGAACGAAGAATGGAGACGGTAAGGCTTCGGGCTGCGCGAAGACGGCCCCCCCCCAGGTAGTCCTGGCTGGAGCTGTCCCAGCTGGCCTCCACAGGCCGCCCGAGCAGTCCAGGGCGGTCTCACCACCCCCGCGCCGACGTGGGCGCACTGAGCCCCCGGGTCTCCGCGCTGGGGCCGCCCCGGACTGCTCGGAGGCCCTGTGGAGGCCAGCTGGGGCGACTCGGGGGGCCCGCTGAGGCCAGCTGGGGCCCGGGGGGAGGCTGCCCCTGCGCAGCCCGATGCCCGACCACACGGAGAGTGCTTCGACCCACGGCTGCAGGTCTCTCCGGCGCGCCGACGTTTAGCGGCGAGCCCAGGGAGGAAGTGAGGGGGGGCAGGCCTGCTCAGAAGGCGGCGGGGCTGCTCAGGAGCCCTCTGGCCTGAACCTTTTGTGGCTTCGGAGTGAATTCCGGCCCCTTCTCAGGCGGAGGAGGAGCAGAAGGAGAAGGAGCTCGGGTATTCTGGGGGACGCGAGACTTCACCAGCGCCAAAAGAGGGCGCAGGCGGCAGCACTCGCCGAGGCAATGCTTTCGGGTGTCTGTCGGCGCCGACTGTAGCTTCGTTTCGCGAAACGTTGCAATGACACGTGCGATGCAGTGACGTCGCGCTGTCGCGGTCAGCGGCGTAGGCTGCCACGGGGCCCAAGCCCCAGGCCGTGATTGTCGGGCGGAGGAGGAGTCGGGTCGGGGGCGGGGGCAGGTGGGGATGGGAATCGCGCCTGCGTCCTGGGGGCAGCCTGCGTCCTGGGGGCAGCCAGCCGCTGCACCCCGAATACGGTGGAGCCTCGGCCGATCTTCTCGCCAACGCTTGTATCGATCCTGCTCCACCTCCTCCTCGTGCTCGTCATGATCCTGCCTGTTCTTGCCAGGAGGACTGCCCAAATCTCGGCAACTCTCGCCACGTGTTCACGGAATGGTTGCTCATATTATTTCACATCTGCTCCCCATATTGTCAGCCGTGCGATCAGTTAGGCTGGATGGTGTGAAGCACTTGCTTCCTAGCTAAACGCCCGACAATTGCGCGCGCTGGATGTGCTTCACGGCTACATGCTTGCCGTGTGCAAGATTTCGAACGTGTAATTGCTATCGCTGCACAAGCGCCACATGCTGGCCTGCTCCATACCAGAGGCTCGAATTCGCTGGGGCAGAAAGTGCTGGGCCAGAGCAGCACCGCATCAACCTGCGTTTTACCACTAAGCGGGACGCTCACGTAGCGATGTGGCCTGAACGCTGCCCTGCCTGAAATCCCAAAAAACCCGATGCGACTTTTCTCCTTACCTATGAACCTAGGCACGAGCCAACATCACCAATCTCGGCAATATGTCGAACCACTCTCGCAACCAGTGGCTTAATGCTGTGCGAGACCATGGGGCCTCGTAGCCACTTCAACCAGCTGCGAGCGTAAGCTGTAGCGCCGGCACAGGACGGTCATAGGAGTCGCAAGTTCAAGTCTAAAGGGATCGAGGAGTGTAATTGGGCGGCCACCAACACATGTGAAGAAGTTCTTCCAGCAACGGGGCGGATTGCCTCTGTGACGCAGTATAGCAGTGACGCAAGCAGAGCCCCGAATACCAAAGCCCACTCAAGGACGTATCTGAAGAACGCGACGTAGGCCTGTTTGTAACTTGCCCCCTTCCAGACTAGGAATTGGGCAATCGTGCAGTACACTGCGCCATACAAGCTTACAGTGACAGCTGCGGCTTTCCAGGTGCGACACGACTTAGTATGCCAATACCTGAACATCAAAACAACTCCCAGCCCAAGAACAGTGAAGGCAATGACGAAGTGCAGCGCACCTAAAGGCGAATCTGATGGTCCTGGATGTGTGCGAGGGAGAAGAATAAGTTCGTGTCGGGTACGAAGCCAATGACGAAAGCCAACACGCCGAGGACACCTACAACGACGTCATCAATTTTCCGACGGGCTCTCATCAAACACATACATGAGATTGCTGAAATCGAGGTACATCCGATCCAAACTTCGGTCTGGACGAATATGCGCGGCGACTGAAGAGGGCGAACCCAGCTGTTCCAAAATCCATTGATGCACTCGGATAGCCAGCATATGTATTTCTCTGCGCCATGACATGGATCCATTCGCATTGCAGCGCTGCCTTCCCACCAACGCCTGTCAAACATAACTGCTGCCAACACTGAGCCAACTACATTACCAATCGCCGTCGCTTTCAGTGCCGAGACTCTCATTCTACCTTGACCAGAGTATCTGCGTATTCAACTTGACCGCATGGGAGAGGAACTGCCCCTGATTTGGACCAGCGTGGCATATGATTGCCTTGGCCTGGTATGGCTCGAGTCAAGTAAGGATGGCCCAACACAACGGACGGCGATGCGGTAAGCATAGGAAGAAGGATCTAGAGGTAGAGGAAGAAACAGTCGCATAGATCTAACTTTCGGAAGTCCGTACGCACTGCTTGGATCGGCGCTGGACCCCAGTCCCTGGTGCGCGGATTGCGCCAGGGGCGGCGCCGGAGGCGCCGCCAGGGGTGGCCCAGCGCCGATCCAAGAAATCCATGCGGACTTGCGAAAGATCCCTAATCAACTAATGTTGTAAGGGTATCAGTGTGCATAAAAAGACAACGGTTTCAGGTTCTGGAGTGCAGACCCGCTCGAGTCTTTGCTGTGCTCGTGCCGTGTCGTGCCGTGCCCGCGTGCCTTGCCGTGCCCGCGCTCCAGAATGCGAAAGACGTGCCGCCCGCGTGCCGTGCCGAGCCCCCAGCAGTCAATGCGCCGTTCCCGCCCTCCTGCGGTGCCGTGTCGTGGCCGCGTGCCGTGCCGTGCCTTCGTGCCGTGCCGTGTCCGCGTGCCGTCCCGCGTGCCGTGCCCGCGTGTCGTGCCGTGCCGACGTGCCGTGCCTTGCCCGCGTGCCGTCCCACGCACGCGCATGTCGATGTTGACTCACCAGGTGTCCTCTCGCGCGGCGTCGGTGTTCAGGGCCTCCGTGCCGGTGTGGCCCAGTGAGGCCCAGGCGGTTTCCGGTGCTAAGGCCGCCCCAGGCATCCTCTGCAGCGCCGACACACCGCAAACTTGCCGCCGAGGCGAGGCCGCGCGCGTGCCGACGGCCACACGGGGCGCGCGCCGAAGCTGGCGGCCGGCGGCGGCGCAGTCCAGAAGGCCCGTGGAGACGGGCGGCGTCCCCTGGCGGGCGGTGGCCGTCCCCCGGCGGGCGGCGGCGGCCCGCGGCGGCGCGGAGGTGACCGCCGCCGGGCGGCAGCGGCGTCTGCCGGGCGCGCGCCCGCCAGCGGCGGCGGCCCGCGGAGGCGGGCGGGCGGCGGCCGCCCTGCGGCGGCGCTGAGCTGGCCGCCGCCGTCGGGCGGCAACGGTCGGCGCCCGCGGCCGCGGCGGTCGGTGCGCCCCGGGCGGGCGGGCGGCGCCTGCGGCGGGCGGCCAGAACGGGGCGGCCGCCTCTCCCGCGCGGCTGCCTGCACTCTCGCGCCGCAAGGGCGGAAGAGCTCGCGCGTGGGAGGCCCCGCAGCGGCGCCCGTGGCAGATGCTCCGAGCTGTGGCAGGTTTCGCCCCGCTCGCGCGCCTTGCTGGCGCAGGTGCTCTGTACTGAGCACGGGCATGCTGCGGTGTACACGAGCGCGGTGGTGCGCACACTTGCTGGTGCAGCAACGCTGGCGGTCCCTGAGATCCGACGTAATGGAAAATGCGCAGCATCGTAAAGAATCACTCTCGGAGCAGTCGATTCCAGCTGTCTGCGCAGTTGTTCGAGCCGGATCGAGCTGCGAGGGTCCCCGGGCCCGAACAAGGGCGAAACGCCCAGCTCGAAACCACTTCGACGCCAGGATCTCAGGGGGTGATATGCGCACAGGCATGGTGTGCACAGGCACCGTGCCGTGCAGTCGCTGTGGCGTGCTGGCGGTGGGGGGTCCCTGCGCCCGGAGACGTCGGCGACGACGACGACGACGAGGACGACTGTTCAAAGACGGCGGGCCTTCGCACCCGGAGAGAACGGCCCGGGCCCCCAGACTGAAGTCGGGCGTGTCCCCCTACAGTGGGATTTCTGACGAAAAACGGTAAATATGCAAAAAATACGCCAAGATGGCCAAGATAAGATTCAAAAAATAGTCCCCAGACAATTTCTTGACTGCTTTGGATACTCTTCCTGTAGGGGAACGGGCCCGAATTAACCCCAGACGCCTGTGCGAAGGCTCAGCAACTGGAGGGGCCGGCCCTCGCGAGTCGTCTCCGCGGCGCTGGGCGGCCGGGCGGCCGGAGGCTCCCCGCGCGGCAGCCTCCAGGGAGCCGCGAGCCTCGATCCTCCTGCCCCCTCCCTCTTCCTTCTGATTCTCCCTCTCCTCCTTCTCCTCCTCCTCTCAATCCTCCTCTGCCTCCTCCTCCTCCTCCTCTTCCTCCTCCTCCTCCTCCTAATCTTCCTCTTCCTCCGATGCCTCCTCGATCAGCGAACAACGCCGGCGACGAATCGGGCCAGCGAGCGCTAAGCAGAACGCAAACAACATGCGAATAGAGCCCAAAACTACCAGACAGAGCGAGAAAGAGAAAGAGAGAGAGAGACATATGGACAGAGGGGGCGGAACGGTAGAGGCACGCACAGTCTCTTGGCGCTGGGCGGCCGCTGATCCTCAATACTCGTTTTCCTCCTCCTCCTCCTCCTCCTCCTCCACCGGATGGCGAGAACGCTGCGGGTCTGGGTCTCTGGAAAACCCCAGAAGTCTCTGGAGTCCTGAGGTGCCCTGAGGTCCACGGAACGCCAAAGAACGGCCAAAGGTATCAATTCTCGATGCTTCCTACTCCCCTCTCCTCTTCGAGATAGAATCGCTCCCCCTCGATCCTCGATCCTTTCTCCTCCTCCGCCTCCCCCCCCTCCTCCTCCCCCCCCTCTTCCCTCTCCCATCCTCGATCCTTCCTCCTCGTGCTCTGCGGGGGAACTTTCGGGTGGGAGTGGCCCAAGGAGGGACACATCGATCCGGAATCTGTGATACATTGCCGACGGATCGGCGATGGCCCCCGATAGCAAATTCTCACGCTCCTGTGGGCTATCGGGCCCCGCATCGGAGATGAAGGGGCGATTGGTGCCGGTGCGTCCCCGTCTGAGCCTGTTCCCCCAACGTTGCCCTCTGGTTTTCGGGTCTGCTCTCCTGCAGCCGTTCGGGAAGATCCGGGCTCCCCCCGAACGCTCCCAGCGAGGCGCAGCCGCTGAAGAACATCCCGAGACTAGAAAACGGCCGGCAGCCGGGGCAAACGTCCGAAAAGTTCGAACGCCGAGCCTCTTCCCCCGCCAACGTTGCTCCTCCGCCTCCTCTGCCGAGGGCGGCGGCGGCGGCGGCGGCGGCGGCGACCACGACGACGACGACGACGGCGACGGCGACGACGGCCCGCGGCGACGAGGCGAGATCGGGCCGCAGGGCGCTGCGAGGCGGGGGGCGGGCGGCGGCGCCCCAGGACCAGCGCCACCTTCTCGGCCTCGACGTCGAGGCCGCTGCGCTCGACGGGGGGCTCCATCAGCTCGCCGGCCGTCGTCGCGGGCCGTCGTCGTCGTCGTCGTCGTCGTCGTCGTCGTCGTCGTCGTCGTCGTCGTCGTCGTCGTGGTCGTGGTCGTGGTCGTGGTCGTGGTCGTGGTCGTGGTCGTGGTCGGCATTGCCCTCGTGGTCGTCGTCGGGGTCTCGGGGAAGTGGCCTTCGGGGTCGTCGTCGCGGTCGTGGTCGGGGTCATCGGTGGCGTCGTCGGCCGGGTTGGGGTTGCATTCGCCGCTACCACCGTCGTCCTCGTCGTCGTGGTGGTCTTCTTCTTCTTCTTCTTCGTCGTCGTCGTCCTCGTTGTCGGGGCCTGGGGCGAAACCGAGCGAAAACACACGCTAGGACTGAGACAACAATTTCGCCCCTTGGCCTGTGCCTCCCGCGTGCCTGGCTCGCTCGGCGGACCACCCGCAGGTCGGCCCACACGGGGTGCGCTGCCCCTGCGGCAGGCCCTCGCTTGCGCTCCTCCGGCCCGTGCGCTGGATGGTCAACGAGCCGGCCACTTCACTCCTCCTCCTCCTCCTCCTCCTCCTCCTCCTCCTCCTCCTCCTCTTTCTCTTTCTGCTCCTCCTCCTCCTCCTCCACTCCTCCTCTTCGTCCTGCTCCTCTTTCGCCTCCTCCTCCCTCCTCCTCTCTCCCTCCTCCTCCTCCTCCTCCTCTTCCTCCTCTTCCTCCTCCTCCTCCTCCTCCTTCGCCTCCTCCTCCCTCTTCTTCTTCCTCCTCCTTCGCCAACCTCCTCTTCTCCTCTTCATTCTCTTCTCCTTCACCTCCTCCTCCCTCCTCCTGCCTCCCCCCTCATCCTCACTCCTCCTCCTTCTCCTCCTCCTCCTCCTCATCCTCCTTCGCCTCCTCCTCATTCGCTTCCTCCTCCCTCCTCCCTCTTCTTCCTTCGCCTTCGCCTCCTCCTCCTCCGTCCTCCTCCGCCCCTCCTCCCCTCTTCCTTTTCCTTCTCCTCCTCCTCCTCCTCCTCCTCCTCGCCCCTTCTCGTCCACCTCCTCGCCCCTCTCCTCCCTTTCCGCCCCTTCCTCCTTTTGCGGGAGGGGACTTGGGACGGGAGTGTATATTACAGCATCGTTGATGCAACTTGGGCTTACTTTGGTCCTCCTCTTTCTCCTCCTCCTCCTCCTCCTCCTCCTCCTCCTCCTCCTCCGTCCCTCTTCTTGAACAATGACTCCTCCCTGTCGCGTCCCCAGACGTGTCGATAGGGCCAGCGGGGCGTTTCGCCTGAGGCCTCCAAATGAACCTTGAGAGTGGCAAGAGTTTCAATGATGGAAGGGGGGTGCCTTTCATAATGGGGCTCTCGCCTGAGCGCCGCAGCACCGCGCAACTTCGTCTTAAAAGTTTGCAGCGTATTCAAAGATGGCGGGGCGAGGGGTGGTGGTCTTCCACATGGGGCTCTCGCCTGAGCGCCGCGCAGAATCGTCCTCGCAGTGTGCAGCCGCTTCAGGGGTGGAGGGCGGCCCTTTTCAATATGGGGCTCTCGCCTTGGCGCCGCGCGCATTCGTCTAGAAGCTTGCAGTAGTGATGTGTTTGGGGGGTGCTGTGTGCAGCTCGTACGGTCTTCTTATCAAACACGGTTTTCGCCTGACACACCTTCAAGCTTAAGCAGCTAGAATCTCGAGCATGTGTAACACCTGTGCACGCCTGCACCTTCGTGGGCCCTGGAAACGACAAGGCCGTTTTTTTACCGGTTCCGACGCCGTTTTTTTACCGGTTCCGTCGCCGTTTTTTGACCGGTCCCGGCTCCGATTCCAATCCTGCAGCTGATTTCTTGCCGTTTCTGGTCGCCGTGCTTTTGCCGTTCCCATTTTCAAGGGACATTTTTTTGGAAACGGTGAAAAAACGGCCCTGCCGTTTCCGGGGCCCACGAAGGCCTGCACTGATCGAGGGCAGCTTCTTCTTCAAACTGGGGTCCTCGCTTGAGAGTCTGCGGCGCTCACAGCCATGCGTGCTAACTTGTCCAAGAGTTGCACACACCGTACAGCCCTACTTTCCAGAGGGGGTCTCGCTGGACACCTCGTGGAGCTGTAGTTGTGCGCATTCTACCCTACTCGCCGAGAGGATGCAGCGCAGCTTCCCTTCAGATATCAGGGGCCTCGCCTGCAAGCCAGGCCCCCATAGGGGTGCGCCGGTCTCTCTCGCCGAGGTGCCTCTTGCAATGAGGAGGGGACTCGGGGCGGGAGGGCGTCTTGAAGCAGCGCTGGTGCAGCTTGGGCTTGCTCTGATGCTCCTCCCTGCCCAAACCCTCTGCTACCAAACGACCTCCTCCCTGCCGCACCCCCCAGACGTCTCCGTCGGGCGGGGGAGTTTCGCCCGAGACTTCCTCGTCCTCTCTGATCATGAAGCTTGAAATTGGCGCGGGTCCTCATGGTGAAGGGGGGTGGGGCGGTTCTCAGAATGGGGCTCTCGCCGGAGCGCCGCGCACATTCGTCTTGACAGTTTTGAGCGGCGTCAGGGATGGCGAGGGAAGCGTTTTCAAACTGGGGCTCTCGCCTGAACGCCGGAAGCATTGGTCTCAAACTTGGCACACCGGTCTCCAGGCTGGGGCCATGCCGTTTTCACAACGGGGCTCTCGACTTGCCACCGAGCGCATGCGTCGCAGAAGCATGCAACGCAACAACTTTCATGGGCGGAGGGCGGCTCCGTTTCACAACGGGGCTCTCGGCGCCGCATGCATTCGTCCCATATGCCTGCAACACTCACAGGGATGGGAGACGTTTCTTTTTCAAAATGGGGCCTTCTCCGAAGACTGCCGTACTTGCCATCGCTCGGACGTCCACTCCACGCACATGTTTGTCCGGTTTCGTGCGTGCTTTTTTTGCCAGATGATCCAGGATGCTCCTCGGTGGTCCTCGCGGGGAACGCATGCACAAGTCCGAGCGATGCCGAGCTACAGTCGGACTTGATTGAAGAGGACACTCGAGAGGACGCAAGACCCTTCCGAGGGCCACGTTGCCACAGACCTGCAGGAGGCACGGGTCGCAAGACACAGGACACGAGGGTACCCTCGATTTGGCAGGGTCGATCTACTAATCTGGGCCGCCTGGACAGGGGAGGAGGACGTTCCGTTTGCAGGATGGGGCTCTCGCGGAAGACTGCTCTGAAATGCACACGCCGGGGAGGCACACAACACACATGTAACGTTAGGTCGGGCGTGTCCCCCTACAGGCGGTTTTTTGTCGAAAAAAGAATAGTTTAAGCATGCCCCAAGATAACCAAACATATTTAAAAACATCCCCGGACTATTGTTGGACTCTTCTTGAATACTCCTCCTGTAGAAGGACAGGCCCGGCTCAGAGGTTCATGGCTGCACGGGTGGAGGGCCTGCCCGATCCACGTGTGAGGCCCTCGCCCGGGGCTTCCTCGACACGCTCGGCGAGAAGTGCAAAGCCAGCGCTCGAGCTGGGCGGTGCCTTTTCCGTGCTCCAGGCCTCGGACAGACACAGCGCACACTCGTGCCACGTTCATCCGTCAACGCCTCCCCCTCCCCCCAACGTTCAAAGTTGGCGGTGGGTCCGACGAGGTGCACCTCGACCGCAGTCTCCCCCGCAGGTGCCAACTTTGAATTTCGAATTGTTTCCCTCTACCGTCGTTCTCCTTCGTTCCGTCTTCTTTCTGCCTGCGCTGCGGCACGTAAGCAGAACGCGAGCGGTCCACAGCATTGCCAAGGCAACGCTTCGCTCGAGCCCTGGCGCAAACTTGTGCCCAGGTTACACAGATGGGGGCGCTGCTCTTGTTTAACCGGTGTGTCGTTGGACACCTCGCTGGACTGTACGATCTTACATGTGCGCCTCCGTAGTACTCTTAGGTGGGGCATGCCCCCCTACAGGCGGATGTTGAACGACAATTTTTGTTTAAAACAATACCCCCGAATAATACACCAGCAATGCTCGAAATTGGTAAACAAAAATCGTTCCCAGACTATTTTTCACTATTTTTGAGTATTCCCCCTGTAGAGGGACAGGCCCGATTTAAGAGTACTCGCTGGAAGGGTGTCAGGCAATTCCTTTTCAACAGGGGGCCCTCGCCGGGATGGCGGGCCGAGAGAGTGCTGGTCGTTCCAGGGGGCACATCTTGTAGTTGAAAAGGAAGGCTTGTAGGGACTCATGTGGTTGGGACTTGGGACCGGAAGGTATACTGGACCTTCTTTGATGCATCTTGGGTTTACTTTGGCCCTCCTTCTCCTCCTCCTCCTCCTCCTCCTCCTTCTCCCCCTTCCCCCCTCCTAAACCCCCTCCTCCTCCTCCTCCTCTTCCTCCTGATTCTCCTCCTCCTCCCTCTCCTCCTCCCTCTCCTCATCGTACCCCCCTCGCCCGCCTCCTCCCGCCGTCTGCCTGGCCTCTTCCCTCCTCCCTCCTCTCTCCTTCTCCTTCTCCTTCTCCTTCTCCTCCTCCTCCTCCTCCTCCTCCTCCTCGTCCTCCTCCTCCTCCTCCTCCCACTCCCCCTCGTCCTCTCCTCCTGCTCCTCTCCTCCCCCCTCCTCCTTCCTCTCCTCCTCCTCCCCTCCTCCTCCTCCTCCTCCACTCCCTCCTCCCCCCCCTCCCAAGCTACTCCTTTCCTCCTCCTCTTCCTCCTCCCCTCCCTCCTCCTCCTCCTCCTCTCCTCCTCCTCCTCCTCCTCCTCCTCCTCCTCCTCCCCCTTCCCCCCCCCCCCTCAAGCTACTCCTTTCCTCCTCCTCCTCCTCCTCCTCCTCCTCCTCCTCCTCCTCCTCCTCCCAGCAGCCGCCACCGCCGAGGCCAGAGCACACGCATGGGGGCGAGGGCGGGCGGCGGGCGCCCACCTGTCCGCGGCCAGTGCATGTGGGCCGGTGCCGGCTCCTCGCGCGCTGCGCGCGGGGGGCGGCCCGGGTCGTCGCCGTCGTCGTCGTCGCCGCCGCCGCCGCCGTCGTTGTCCTCGTAGTTGTCCTCGTCGTCAACGTCGTCGTCGTCGTCGTCGTCGTCGTCGTCGTCGTCGTCGTCGTCGTCGTCCTCGTCGTCGTCGTCCTCGTCGTCGTCGTCGTCGTCGTCGTCGTCGTCGTCGTCGTCGTCGTCGTCTGCCTCCGCTCAGCGACGGTAGGTGGCCGAGGTAGCCCAGCGGTCGACGGGCGCCCACATGAACCCATACACCCGCCTGCGGTCCAGCCAGAAGGGAGGGGAGGACAGCAGACGCTCGGGAACTGTGGCGTGGGGGGTCGCGGCGGCGGCCGTGGCGACACGCTGTGCCCTGCGAGCTGACAACGTGTCGCTCCGCTCCGCGTGGCAGGGGGCGGCGGGGAGGCTCGGGGCGTGGACGCGCGGGAGCTGGGGAGTGGCCAGCGGGCTGCGACGAGGCGCGGTGGGGCAGAACCGGCGGCCCGGCACGCCAAGCCAAAGCTCCTGACCGTAATGATAACAGCCGTCAGCCAGCGTGGGCCCCAGACAGGAAGTTACTGCAGGATGGATATGCAAGCCGTGAGGTGCAGCCATGTTCCCCCAAGACGGAGGGCCCCAAGACGGCCCAATCGGCCCCCAAGAGGGGCCAAAGCGGTGGAGCCTCGACGAACCCCTCAGACTCAACATAACTCCCAGAGGCTCCTAAGAGGCCCCAGAGACCACCCAGAGACCTCCAAGAGGCCCCAAAAGCTCCATCAAGAGGCCTCCGAGAGGTCCCCGAGAGGCACCTCAAGGGACCCCTTTCGCCATCCAAGAAGCCTCAGGCCTTCAACCCAGGCGCGGTGGCAGGATGGGCCGACGGCCAGTAGCTACTGTTACAATATGCAGAACCAGACTACGATGCATGTATCCAAGGATGGTGGCACACAACCAGGCTGATGACGAGCGCAAGGTGACGCCTGTAGCTGTCCGGCGAGAGCGTGCTGTTGTAGGGCGACTCTGGGTTCGAGGCCATCTCGCCGGCCAGCTCGTCCCCAACGAATGCCGTCTGCCGGCGCGCGCGCGCGCGCGAGAGGAGGCCGTCGGGTCGAGGCTTGGGGGATCGAGGCCGAGGCCGAAGATGGTGGCCCGAGACCGAGGCGCAGCGTCTGAGGTCGAGGCTGGAGGCCCTCAGGATGGTGAGTCGAGGCCCCAGGATCGCGACGTGTGCACTTTTATGTGTCACATCTACCTCTACGTTCAAGGGACTCCCCTCCCTGCGATCGCGATGTGTGCACTTCGGACGCTGCTCTGACCCTGCTGGCCCTCTGGGGGGGCCCTCGGCAGCCTGTCGGAGGCCTTGCTGTGGGGGGAGGCCTGGGCGGGCATGCGGGCGCGCGGGAGCCACGGAGGAGAGAGGGAGGGGGGGGGGGCCCAGATCCCTGGCGGCACGAACGAGCCGAGACGGCGGGCTTCGTCTATCTGTTGGCAAAGGGAGTCTAAGGTGGGCACCTCCCCGGGGAGGGTGCCGTCGGACACGCTTGCTTGCCCTGCCGCGGCGGCGGCCCCGGCGACACGCTGATGCCCTGCGAGCAGATGGCGCGTCGCTCCGCTCCGAGGGGAGCTGGGGAAAGCTCGGGACGCGGACTCCCCCAGGGACAGTGACATTGTTCGCGTGTCGCGAGGAGGAAGAGGCGGGCCAGAACCGGCGGCGCGTCACCCTAAGCTTAGGTCGGGCATGCCCTCCTCCAGGCGCATTTTGAACGAAAAATGAACTATTGATCAACAAGAGCACGAATAATCGTCCCCATACTATTTTTCCCAACCCTCCTGTGTTGGGTTCTCGTTTTGAATAAAGCAGAGGTAAATCATACGCGGATCACCACGGGACCTCGCCGCCCCCTGGGGGGCTGCGATCTGCGCAACGGTCGCCACTTTCGTGGGCTCCTGGGAGGCCCACCGGAAGTACGTCATACGCGGATCACCATGGGACCTCGCCGCCCCTGGGAGGCTGCGCAACTGTCGCCGCTTTCGTGGGCTCCTGGGAGGCGCAGCGGGGATACGTCACACGCGGATCACCACGGGACCTCGCCGCGCCTGGGGGGCTGCGATCCGAACAATTGTCGCCACTTTCGTGGGCTCCTGGGGGGCCCAGCGGAGGTACGTCATACGCGGATCACCACGGGACCTCGCCGCCCCTGGAGGGCTGCGATCCGAACAAATGTCGCAACTTTCGTGGGCTCATGGGAGGCCCAGCAGGGGTACGTCATACGCGGATCACCACGGGACCTCGACGCCCCTGGGGGGCTGCGATCTGCGCAACTGTCGCCACTTTCGCGGGCTCCTGGGAGGCCCAGCGGAGGTACGTCATACGCGGATCACCACGGGACCTCGCCGCCCCTGGGGTGCTGCGATCTGCGCAACTCTCGCCACTTTCGTGGGCTCCTGGGATGCCCAGCGGAGGCACGTCACACGCGGATCACCACGGGACCTCGCCGCCCCCTGGGGGGCTGCGATCCGAACAACTGTCGCCACTGTCGTGGGCTCCTGGGAGGCCCAGCGGAGGTACGTCATACGCGGATCACCTCGAGACCTCGCCGCCCCCTGGGGGGCTGCGATCTGCGCAGCTGTCGCCACTTTCGCGGGCTCCTGGGAGGCCCAGCGGAGGTACGTCATACGCGGATCACCACGGGACCTCGCCGCCCCTGGGGTGCTGCGATCTGCGCAGCTGTCGCCACTTTCGCGGGCTCCTGGGAGGCGCAGCGGAGGTACGTCATACGCGGATCACCACGGGACCTCGCCGCCCCTAGGGTGCTGCGATCTGCGCAACTGTCGCCACTTTCGTGGGCGCCTGGGAGGCCCAGCGGAGGTACGTCATACGCGGATCACCATGGGACCTCGCCGCCTCTGGGAGGCTGCGCAACTGTCGCCACTTTCGTGGGCTCCTGGGCTCGTGGGAGGCGCAGCGGGGGTACGTCACACGCGGATCACCACGGGACCTCGCCGCCCATGGGGGGCTGCGGTCCGAACACCTGTCGCCACTTTCGTGGGCTCCTGGGGGGCCCAGGGGAAGTACGTCATACGCGGGTCACCACGGGACCTCGCCGCCCCTGGGGGGGGGGGGACTGCGATCTGCGCAGCTGTCGCCACTTTCGTGGGCTCCTGGGAGGCGCAGCGGGGGTACGTCATACGCGGATCACCATGGGACCTCGCCGCCCCCTGGGGGGCTGCGATCTGTGCAACTCTCGCCACTTTCGTGGGCTCGTGGGAGCCCAACGGAGGTACGTCGTACGCGGATCACCATGGGACCTCGCCGCCCCTGGGGGGCTGCGATCTGCGCAGCTGTCGCCACTTTCGTGGGCTCCTGGAGGGCCCAGCGGAGGGACGTCATACGCGGATCACCATGGGACCTCGCCGCCCCCTGGGGGACTGCGATCTGCGCAGCTGTCGCCACTTTCGTGGGCTCCTGGGAGGCGCAGCGGGGGTACGTCATACGCGGATCACCAAAACACCTCGCCGCCCCTGGGGGGGCTGCGATTTGCGCAACTGTCGCCACCTTCGTGGGCTCCTGGGAGGCCCAGCGGAGGTACGTCATACGCGGATCACCACGGGAACTCGCCGCCACTCGGGAGCTGCGATCTGCGCAACTGTCGCCACTTCCGCGGGGTGCAATGCGTCATACGCGGGACACCACGGGACCTCGCCGCCCCCTGGGGGGCTGCGATCTGCGCAACTGTCGCCACTTTCGTGGGCCCCTGGGAGGCCCAGCGGAGGTGGGTCATACGCGGAACACCACGAGAACTCGCCGCCCCTGGGGGGCTGCGATCCCAACAACTGTCGCCACTTTCGTGGGCTCCTGGGAAGCCCAACGGGGATACGTCATACGCGGGTCACCATGGTACCTCGCCGCCCCTGGGGGGCTGCGATCTGCGCAACTGTCACCACTTTCGTGGGCTCCTGGGAGGCCCAGCGGATGTACGTCATACGCGGATCACCACGGGACCTCGCCGCCGCCGGGGGGCTGCGATCTGCGCAACTCTCGCCACTTTCGTGGGCTCCCGGGAGGCCCAGCGGAAATACGTCATACGCGGATCACCACGGGACCTCGCCGCCCCCTGGGGGCTGCGATTTGCGCAGCTGTCGCCACTTTCGTGGGCTCCTGGGAGGCCCAGCGGGGGTAAATCATACGCGGATCACCACGGGACCTCGCCTTCCCTGGGGGGCTGCGATTTGCGCAACTGTCGCCACTTTCGTGGGCTCCTGGGAGGCCCAGCGGAGGTACGTCATACGCGAATCACCACGTGACTTCTTGCGGAGCTCTTCTGAAATCACTGCTGGGTGCTCTTCTTGCGCACTGCGGGTCCTTCAGAATGCCAGTCAGCATTGAGTGGTCCTGAGTATAATCGCCACAATATAGAAAGGGTTGGGTACGTCACACAGTAATTTGACGATCCTTGAATATACCTCCTGTAGAGGGACATGCCCGACTTGAGGTTAGCGTGTGGCGCTGAGGAGGAGGAAGAGGAGGAGGAGGAGGAGGAGGAGGAAGAGGAGGGAGAGGAGGAGGATCCACGATGCGGAGGAGGAGGAGGAGGAGGAGGAGGAGGAGGAGGAGGAGGGGGAGGAGGAGGTGGAGGATGAGTGGTGGGCCAGGACCTGTAGCGCGACACGCTAAGCCAACGGTTATGACCGTAAGCGGCGCAGCCCCACCCCCCCCAACCGAAGGCCACCAACAAACGAGGAGGGGAATGATGCTCTCACGCCTCGGGTGGAGTGCCCAACAGCACGCCCAAGAACAGAGGAGGAGCAGGAGGAGGAGGAGGAGGAGGAGGAGGAGGAGGAGGAGAAGGAGGGGGCGGGGGAGGGAGGAGGAGGAGGAGGAGGAGGAGGAAGAGGAGAGGAGAGGAGGAGGAGGGAGGGAGGAGGAGGAGGAGGAGGAGGAGGAGGAGGAGGAGGAGGAGGAGGAGGTGAAGGAGGAGGAACCCAGAGGTCTAGGCCGAGGAAGAGGAGGATAATGATCAGGACGGCGAGGAGCAGGAGGAGGACCAATGTAAACCCGAGGCGTATCAACGATATTTCCACTAACCCTCACTCAAAGTTCGCTCTTCATAGATGCCACAAGATTTCCATTGCGGGAAGTGCCCCGTTGCAAGACTACCGTCTGATAACCGTTCATCCTGCAACAACACCATTCCTAGGATTTCAACGCTGCGAATCAGTTGTACTGCTGCGTCCGGACAATCATGAATCGTTCCACAACGCCGTTCCCGAGGCTTCTACGCCGCGAAGAAAGTTGACTGCTGCGTCCTGTGACTGCCACCAATCGACTCGTTGAAACTGCCGCAAACATTTCAACATAATGTGCGCGGCGCTGAGGCGAGAATCACATTTTGAATACAACACGCCATCCATCCGTGGAGCCCCTGCAAACTTTTGAAACGAATGTGTCTGCAATATTCTGAAACACATGTGCGCGGCGCTAGGGCGATAATGCAAATTTTGGAAACCACCCGCCCTCCATCAGTGACAGTCTAGAGAACTTAAAACATATGTGCGCGGCGCTCAGGCGAGACCCACATTTTGTCAGCGACCCGCCCTCCATCCGAGAAACTCTTGCGAACTTTCAGGCCGAATGTGCGCGGCGCTAACGCGAGAGCCTCATTTTGAACACGGGCCGCTCTCCATCCGTGAAGCCCGTGCAGACGTTTGAAACGAATGTGTGCGGCGCGGAGGCGAGAACGGAAGCCGACCTCTATCCGCGAACCACCTGCAATATTTTGAAACAAACGTGCGCGGCGATGAGGCGAGTCCCCACATTTTGAAAACGACCCGTCCTCAATCCGAGAAGCCCTTGCGAACATTTAGGACGAATGTGCGCGGCGCAAAAGCGAGAATCACATTTTGAACACGGGCTGCCCTCCATCCGTGAAGCTATTGCAAATTTAAAGCTTGTGGATCACGAATGATGAGGACGTCTCAGGCGAAATGCCCGGCCCGCCCTACCAACGCGACTTGGAGTGCGGCAGGGAGGAGTTGTTTACATGGAAAAGAGTGGAAGAGAAGGAGGAG